ATCGTTGCATTCTTTGTAAGTGGGCAAACCTGCAAAATCAGCAAGGGTTCAAATTAACATCAGTCTGTGATTCAGATATTTTCTTAGGCCCACCACTGGTGTGATGTAGTAAATAAAAGGATCTGGGTAGAGTCTAAGGTATGAAATGTTCCTGCTGACAGATGCTGAGTATCTGCAGCGGGCGGTGGAGGGAAGAGCGGCCTCTGATGAGGAAGAAGAGGAGAGGAAAACGAAGGAGGCCGGGAGCCACCTGGTGGAGGTGAAGAGGCACGTCTGCAAGCTGCACGGCTGTAGCACCAGGTTAGCTAACGGCTAACGACCAATCACAGGGTTTTTCCCCTCATCTCACTACTGTTCCTCAGGTCGGTTAAAGGAAAAAAAGTGACGGTTAAAAACGAGTTTTGTTTACATTAAGCAACTAATTAATTCATTTAAAATAATTTATTCTGATTTTTTTATGAATTATGAATAATTAAAATTAATTAATTAATTAAAAATGGTTGTAAAAAAATAAATGAAATTAATTTTTAAATTAACTTAATTTAAAAAATCAATTTAATTTATTAAATTAATTATTAAATTAATTAAAATTGATAATTAAAAATTAAGGTTTATGAGGGTAAAATGCAGTACTGTCTTGATTTAAAACTAAGTAAAATACATAAATGAGGAGTTTAAAAGTAACGTTAGCATTAAGATGGTTATTATACCATTGTTTATGTATTTCATTTGTGATAAATAGGTTAAAATACTAAACTGAAAAGTAAGTGAACATGTATTCTGGGAAAAGAGATGTATTTTGTTATGTGTTAACATGGATACTGAAATTGAGAATGCTTAGAGGACATTGAATTTTGAATATGTTGAACATAAACAAAGAAACTTAACACAGTAGTGTATTTAAAAATTGAAACTTTAATAAATTACTGCATGATATATATATATATATATATATATATCTTTCTTGTTCGTCAGGAGTATATCTGTCAACCAAGGTGCCGTTGCTATGGTAACCGTTACACATGGCTGTAGCACCAGGTTAGCTAACGGCTAACAACCAATCACAGGGTTTTTCCCCTTATCTCTCTCCTGTTCCTCAGGTCGGTTAAAGGAAAAAAGGTGACGCTTAAAAACGAGTTTTGTTTACATTAAGCAACTAATTCATTAATTTAAAATAATTGATTATTTTTTTAATGAATTATTCATAATTAAAATTAATTAATTAATTACAAATATTTGTAAAAAAATAAATTAAATTTATTTTTAAATTAACTTAATTGAAAAAATCTAATTAATGGATTAAATTAATTAATAAATTAATTAAAATTGATAATTAAAAATTAAGGTTTATGAGGGTAAAATGCAGTACTGTCTTGATTTAAAACTAAGTCAAATACATATATGAGGAGTTTAAAAGTAACGTTAGCATTAAGCCAGTTATTATACCATTGTCTATGCATTTAATTTGTGATAAATAGGTTAGAATACTAAACTGAAAAGTAAGTGAACATGTATTCTGGGAAAAGAGATGTATTTTGTTATGTGTTGACATGGATACTGAAAAATATTGAGAATGCTTAGAGGACATAGAATTTTGAATATGTTGAACATAAACATAAA